CCCGGGTCTGCTGGGGGGAGGGGAGAACCCTCAGCAGTCTAGGGAGATGCAGAGCAAAGCCGCAGAGGACGCGGGCAGCGGGACCGTGGCGCATCTGGGCGTCCCGCTGCTGCGTCCTCCGTGGCGAGAAAAGCCCTGTTCGTAACTGTGGATCCGACATAAGTCGGATCCGCGTAACTCGGGGACTGCCTGTATACACAAATTGTAGGCTGAGTTGGCGTTTCATTTGAAAATGGCAAAGCTTCAAGTTAATTGCAGTCATAGTGGTTGATGGATTCAAACTTTTTCCTACACATTTTCAAGGGGCATTGTAATAGTTCAATATATGTATTATTAAAACAAAATGAATTTCATTTAAGTTTTTTCTCCAAAACTTCTACACTTCCTGTTCCCTAAAGTGTGGAATCTGCATGCCAAGAAGCTGCAAATCCTATTAGTCACTGAAGAGAAAATGCTGGCTCTGGAACAGTCAGCTTTTCACAGGGGCACAAACAACCTTGTAGCAATAGTTAGAAATCATGCAAATCTCTGAAATATGAAGGCCTCTAAGAAGCCAAAGAGAGCTCCCTGTTAAACTTTACAAACTTAGTATTATATTGGTTTACAAATGCTTACTCTTTTTTCCAGAATAAGATTTAACTCTCATCTAATTAAGTCAAGATAGTAGTGAACATTCTGGACTGTTTATTGTTGCTTGTGTACTTATCTCTGGCATGTCTTCCATTTATGCAATACAATTTAAATGTGATCTTACTTATTTAATAATTATCAGACAGATTCTGTAAGTTGTCAGTGTTTGTGGTAGGGATGTAAACAACTAGTTGACCTATCAGAGAGAGGCAGGCGGAGGGGTTGGGGAGCAGGAGCTGATGCTGGGGGGAGCTGGCTTAAGAAGACAGTTCACCCCAGCACTGTCTCTGGTGGGGGAGGGGGGGAGGAGGCAAAAGAGGTAGAGGTGTAGAGAGCAGTACAGACAGTGAGCCAGTAATCAGCTGACTTGGCTTGTGCCTGGTCCCTCCGCTGTGCCTCTGCTTTTTAAAGCAACTGGCGGCTCTTAATACATTCAAAAAGCAGAGGCACAGTGGGGAGGGATCTGGGTGTGAACTGGGATTCAGCTGATTCCCAGTTCACAACCGGTCCCCCAACTACTGGTCAGTTTTAAATATATTAAGAGCCTTTTAAATATATTAAGAGCCTAGTGGCTTTTAATATGTTTAATAGGCAGAGATGCAGCAGGGTTAGCTCCCAGCCCAGGAGCTAACCCTGCTGCAGCTCTGTGATTTCTCCCTTATTGACTAATCGAGTAGTCGATGGAAATTCCATCGACTAATCAATTATCTGATTACCCGCAATTTAATGTCCCTAGTTTGTGGTGGTATGTTGCTCTTGGGATATGAGACACAGAAGTAGGTGAGATATAATGTCTTTTATTGGACCATCTTCAGTTGGTGGAAGGGACAAGGTTTTGAGTGTGAGGTGTTCTCTTGGAGGTGCCAGCTGGATTTGGGGTACCACTCAACTCCTTGACCCACCAGCCTGGGCTCCCTGTAACACTGTACTGCTGGGACACATTGCAAAGCTTTCTCTAGCCTGCTCTTTTACCAGCATATATAGAAGTAGGCAGGGACATACCCAACTGCAGTTGCATGCAGGCAGGCACTTTGACCAGCTCCTGCATGGGAAGGCTTCAACTGGGGTACCGCCAGGCACACACCTTTTCTGGAGTATAAACCCAAAGTTATATCGTCTTGTGTTGGCTAGAGAGCTGTTCAGCATAAGATCATAAAATTCACCCTTTCCCCCTTAGCGTGGAAAGGAATATGCAACAATTTTGATTTCCATACACTTTATTTAGATTAATACATTCGTTTTTGATTTTATCACTTAAAATCCATCTTTTGTAGTTATAAGCACAGCAAATGGACCAAAGCAGATTACCTAGCAAATAAAAAATGCAAATCTACCTTGATATACTAAATATGTTGGATGTGAACAGCATATTCTCACCATAAGAAATGATACAAGCAGGCTGCAAATCCTTAACTGGCAATCTACACTTGCTTATACCTTGGAATCCCCAGGAATTCCATTCACAGGCTAAAAATCCCTTTAGCCTGGATCTAACACTTCCCCAAGTTTAGTCTTTGTTCTTCCTCTGCCTAGCTTTTGCATATGGCGGGAACCCTTTGTTTAAATCTTGTCTCCTATGCTTGTCAGTGGAAAAATACTGACATCCCAAGATGGAATCCAGCACCTTGATTACTTATCACAGCAGTTCTCTCCACTGGCTATTTGGAGCATTCACAGGAGGCTCATCAGGTGGGAGATAAACTTCTCTTAAGACCTATTGTTTCTTCCTAATGTCTCATTAACATGCATGTGCCCTTTCCAGCCAGCTTTCTAGACCGAGAGCATTTTGCCTACTGGGCATTGCCCAAGATAGCTACATGTGAAATAGCTATGTAGTGAGTATGTTTAACTTCAGATACAAATTCAGCTATTCATAACCTTTCTGATGACATTTAACATGACTTATCTTGCATAAAATATATCATGACTGTCATAGTATCACTGTGAAGAAGATGGGGTGCAGTGTTACACTGATCATCAGAGTTCTTAAGTCTGGAGAACATAACCTGAGTGTCTTGAGCCACATATAAGGGGGGACATACTGTTAAGCAGAAGGGCTTCCCACATAAGAGATCATCCTTCTACTTAACTATATGTCCACTTTTTCTTTAGCTCAGACACTTCTTCAAATCTGAGGAAGAGCTCTGTGATGCTGAAAACTTTGTCCATTCCACTAGCAAAAGTTGGTCCAATAAAAGATATTTCCTCGTCACCTTGTGTCTCTTTAGTAAATATGAACATTTGGTGACTTTTATAGCACTTACAGGCACTCGCTCCCGCCTCTCTCTCCCCTACTGCATTAAAACTGCAATTGTCCGGTATCCAGTGGTCCGGCACTCCTGATAGTCCAGCACCAACTGGACCCCGGAAGTGCTCCGGCCAGCCGGACAATTGGAGCTGCCCAGAGGTGGCGGCAGAGAGGGGGCGAGAGGCAGGCAGCGTTTCCCACCCACCCTAAATAGCTGCCTGCCTCTTGCCCCCTCTCCACCGCCACCGCTTGCAAGCTGGCTGCGCAGGGCTTCCACCGCCTCCCCGCAATACGGCGGAGAGTTCACCCCTCCCCGCGCCATTTCCCGCCAACCCCCTCCCCCCCACTCAGTGCAGGTCCCGGCAGACCTGTCACAGCACCCTGCCAGAGTACCTCCCGATAATCTGACACCCCCTGGGGTGCCGGATTATCGGAAGTCTACCCTACCTCTGTAGGGTGGGGCGTGTGTGCGTGCATGCGTCCGACCGACCATGCAGGTTAACTGATGAGCCCAGGCCTCACATTGTGGCCTAATGGGTAAGGCATCAGCCCCCGGAGCCTGACATTGTGTGTTTGAGCCCTGCCCCCTGTCAGCACCTAGGGTCACATCATTGATCGTGTACATGAGTACATATTAATATTCCTACTTCTCACGATACATAGTCAACCTATGGAACTCCTTGCTAGAGGATGTTGTAAAGGCCAGGATTGCGTTTTAAATGGGAAACCTCCACTTCTTGTTAACATGGCAAGTTTAAAAAAATTAAGGAAGAATTTAGGGTAGATTTTGGAACATAGGGTTTTTTTTTGTTTTTCTAAGGATCGATACGTTTGATCTTCTTTGTGTAGCATGAACATGTTTTTTGTTGCTTCCATTTGTTTCTATCCTTCAATAGTGATCTAGAACAGCTGAGGAAAATCAGACGACGGAGCCCCCATGAGGACACTGAAGCTTTTACTGTGTTTTTGAGATCAGATGTGGAGACAAAGTAAGAATTGTTTAAAAAGGAAATTATTTGATAAGTTCAATTACTTAACACCTTATCTCATGTAAAAGATTTGCTTTCTATTTGAAAGGGCAGTAGTACTCTGCTTCTCTAAGTGCATATATATATGTGCCCACTATCATAGTAACTCGGTACAGTGTACAAATTTGAAGGGTCACATTGTATATCCAAAGGGAAATCTAACTCTTCCCCTAAACTATTTTATTCTGTGAGATAAATCTAGGTGGATTTCTTCCAGAGAAATACTGAAAAGCTGTTATGCTACTCTATTGTTAATGAAGGCTTGGGTTATGTAATTAAAAATTTTACATTCTTAGCAAACAATTATACAATATAGTGTGTGGGAATCAAAAGGATTTCTAAATTATTTGTATTTTGTGCAGGTCTCTAGAAGTTTGGGGAAGCCCAGAGGCTCTTGCTAGAGAGAGGAAACGGCGTAAAGAAGCAGAGATAGAATACAGAGAAAGTAAGTGTAGTGTTTTCAGATGTCAACAAAATTCCAATCTCTTGCCCCACCTGGGAGAATAAAACATGCCTTTGTTTGGATGTCTAACATACATATGCTTTTGAGGTATAGTTGTGCCAATGAGAAATGTGTGAATGCAGGACGTATATGTGGTGTGTTTAAATGAGTTAATCTTAACTGAATTTATCCTTGCTTTTGTGGATTAATTTGTAAGTATTGGTAAACAACCTTGAGCAAAGCTTTTATTTTGTTTTTGAAAATTTACAAAAATACTCAAGCTTGGACTTTTTTCTGTTTTGCACTATTTGAACTACTGATTCAGGATACCTTCATCTTATGTAATTTTAGTCCACTGCTTTTAAAAGTCTGTATTATGATGGAGGATCCTCTATTTTCTTTACACCAAAATTGTAGATTTTATTTATAATCTCGGCAACATTTGATTACAACAACTCAGCCAATTCAGTATTTATAACTAATTCAATTTTGTCACTTGTTGGAAACATTGGCCAATTAAAATTCTAGCAGAAATAATATTCTTTGAGGTTATGCAACTTTAAAATTAGAAGTCTTTTCTTAGAAATAAGTTTGCTATTGAAAAAGCTGATCCTGCAAACACATAGCACCTTTTTAACTTAACACAGGTGTAGTCCCATTAGAAGAGGAATAAACTTACTCATGTCTGCAAGTGTTTGTTAAAGTTATTAAGGCTAGAAACTGTCAAATATTGCAAAGATGAATCAGAAAAGTTAGCTACCAGATCTTAATGTGAAAGCAAGACTGAAAATTGAATAATAAAATCTGAGTGCATGCATTTACCTTGGCTCACATTTCTTGCATTAGAGCACTGTCCTTTTGAAATGGGGATTACCAGTCAGGCTGATTAATATTGTTTCCTTGTATTCCCCTGTCTGTCTGTACCAGTCTATCCTCTCTTGTATTCTACTTAGATCGTGAACTCTTTGGGACAGGGACCATCTTTTATGCTCCTTTTGTGTAACACAATGGTGTCCTGGTTCATGAATAGTGCTGTAGTATTACGAATAATAAGAATAATATTTGTGATAGCACACCAGTATAGGAAAAAGGGTTCTGAAGTTGAGGGTGCTGAAGATCTTCCCCACTGCTTTGGCCTTTTACTCTGGGTGAAAGAAACAGAACTACATAAAGGTGTGCTAGAAGGCCAGATCTGATCATGGGATAAATCGTCCAGCACAGCAGCTATGGGAGGACAGCTGTAAGGCTACCATCCAAAGACCCTTTTACAAACCCTGACAGATGTGTCAATAGTGGGGGAAGAATGTCAAGGGCAGGATCATAGCACATAGAACTGTGGAGATTGTGGGCAGCAATGAGACAGACTGTTGTTACCTAGACCCTCAGGGGCTCTCTGTTTTATGCCAGGACCTGCAGAACATCTCAGAATTAGAAAGCTGCAAAACTGGTTTAGAGCTACCATACCACTCTTCCCCCTGGGCTGGAGATTGTGTGGCATCTCTCAGAGATGACCTACAGAATCTCATTCCTAAACTTAAATTATTTTTCTAGATGTGATGAGTCAACTAAGACATTTGTCAGCATTTTTCGAAAAGAGGATAATTTTCAGTTTCAGTTCCAATGCAGAGTATTTACTGTGTTTTAACTGGATTCTGTTAAGAAACAGAGATCTGTCAAGAAATCTAAATTTGACCAGATCTTCTTGTTTAATATCAGTGCATTCATATGTAGTAGAAAATATACCTGAGTTGTACAAATAAGAGATCTTGAAATTCTGAAATTTATTTTCAGTTGCTAAGTGCTATATGAAAAAACTTAAACAACAACAAATAGTCTAGTAGCAACTTAAAGACTAGCAAACACATGTATCATGAGCTTTTGTGGGCTCAACCCACTTCTTCAGATGACACAAGTACTATATGTAATTAGAGTTGTCTTATTGCAGATCTGTTTAAAAACCAAAAGCTATTAAAGGAGTACAAAGATTTTCTTGGGAATACTAAGGTAAGAGAACAATTTATTCCTTTGGAGAAATCATCATTCAGGTATGTGCATGTTTGCTTAGAGCACAAACACACCACTATTTCAGAGGAATCTGAAAATATCATCTCATGACCCTTTTGTAATGAGTTTGGTTTGTGGATCTTCTATCCCAGATTTCTAATGGTTGTCTCACTGTGATTCCATCCCAGGTCTCTGGCAACTTGCTCGATGTGTACAATACACAAAGTTAAAATAATTTCCTCAGCTTCTTTTGGCTTCCTTGCTTCCCTTTCCCCAAATTACCTAGGTGAATGAGCTCCTAAGTCCAGTCCTGCTGAGTGATTCCTGACATGGCTTTCTGCTGGATCCTGGTTCCTCTTTTCACTCTTTTTATGGTTGCAGTGGCCTCTGGTGGAAGCTGCTATGCTTACTTAACCACCTTCACAGCTATTCCTACACTTTCTGTTGAGCTGAAAAGGAGTGGTTAATTTCATGGGGATGGTCAAGAGCTCCATAGACCCCAGTTTGGGAACTTCTACACTAAAACTAGGTATCTTAATTATGCATGAAATGACATGGTAAATCTAGTGAGCTGTCCATGATAAACTATTGGATTATGCAGAGTGATACCTCAGAAGCTACAGGACTTCTAGTACTAAATGTTATTTTATGTGGTATACAGTAGACAGTCTTCATAAAACCAGGTTTTAGCTATATTACTACTTCATTGTTTCAGTTTAGGAATTTCTTTTAGCATTCTCTCATTTCTATCTAGCCCCGTTCCAGCACAGCTGCAATGATGCTCAAGGGACCAGGAAAGGTGGTGATGGTTGCTATTTGCATGTAAGTTTAAAAAGTAAATGTTTTGTAAATACAAGAGTAAAAAATTGTATATCCTAGAAATGGAAATAGTCTGTATATTTGAGTTACAGATCCTAATGTTCTTTATAATTCTGCAGCTATGAAATTTGCTGAAGAGCCCATCTTTGCTGCAGCAATGTGACCCAGAAAACAGCCTAATTAATTTAATTACATTAAATTAAGGACAATTTTTTTTTTTTTTAAATGGGTGCCTTTACTAGGCTTTAAGTCAGTATTTAGGTACTAGTTAAATAAATGGCATGAGTTTCCAAAGTGTGGAGAATCCAGCATCTCTCATTGGCAAAGGAAACTTGAAGAGCAGCAAAAACCATTAGTTTCACTTCTCTTTCTCTGTAATATAATAAAACAAGTGATAGCAGTTAGGTCTTGTTACGCTTTAATTACTTTTAGGAGATAATCAGTATAGATTTTGTATTCTGGTATTCTGTGGGGTATTATAAATGTATAAAAACTCCACTTATCGTTTGTAAAAAGAAACATGATTTTTCACTGTACATAATCTGCAATGTAGTTTATAGTAATAATTAGCAAAATTCTCCCTAGATAGTTTATTCCAGTCTGTAGACTCAAATCTTAGTTGAAATTAATGTATTCATTTGCACGTCTTGACAAACTGAGGCTCCTTTTTAGGAGTACATTAATCTATATTTTGAGATCAGAGAGGGACTAGTTTTTCAAAGCTGGTCAGCTAAACAATTAATGGTTAAAGTAGCAACCAAAATTCTTGAAGGTGAATGGCATAGGAAAGCCCCTCCTGTGTTTGTATGATGTAGAAAGAGGGCTTCATATATTTTGAAACAAGTTTGTTGTTTTTCAAGTTAGAAATGTTGTGTCTGCTTTTGCTGGAGAGTTTTCTTAAGAACCCCATCAGAAGAAGGGGAGGAATGTTGAATTTTTCACAAAGGTGATTTCTTCCCTAAATATTTATCAGGAGTTTGAGTTGAATAAAACAAAAACCTCACCTTTAAATAAACCTGATTGAGAACTATCAATAGTTTTCTGCAGAATTTACCTACAAGAAAAGGAAGTTGAGACTGAATATTTCTAAACAAACAAAAATAATACAACTTTTTAGAGGAGCATAGTTGTGACCATATTTTCTTAACCAAAATTAGGGACACATTAGCAACACCCCCTGACCCCTATTAGCCATGCCTCTGACCCCCTTTAGCACTGTCCGGGGTTCTGTGCATGTGCAGATAGTTCTGCGCATGCGCAGATTGCCCGAATCCGGCTCTTCCAGGATGTAATCTACTCACCGTGAGCGAGTAGATTACATAGATTGTCGAGCCCTGCCCATTAGCCATGCCTCTGGAGGTAACACTGTCGGGGTCAAGATGGACACATGACCAGAAGTAAAAGGGGTCATGTGATCCCCCTCTAAGAACTTTTCCCACCATCCTCCTACCAATAGGGATGAGTTTGGCCCCCAACCCCCCTCATGCAACTATCCTGCAATTGCATTAACCCAATTTGTGTCACATTAACTCGGGGGGAGAGAAGGCTGGGGGAAGTGTTCCCTGTAAGTTTCTTCCCACGAGCGGAATGAATGTTGTGCATCAGTACTGAGTTCATTTGGCGTGTTTGGATGTGCCACTGTGGCATCCAAGTTATTAACTATCTTACAAACATATATCTTTTCCCTCTGCTGCCTTGTCTCCTCCCTTTACACCATCAGTTCCCCTGGTGCCAGTTGCCCTCCTGCCCCCCCCCCCCCCCCCCCCTTCCTCTGCTGTCCTGACTCCTGCCCTTTTCACTGCCTTCTGCCCTCATGGGGCTTGTGAAGCATGGCTGTATGAGCGGGTCCATGCACTGCTGTTCCCCCAGTGGAGTGGAAAGGGGCGGTGATGGTGGTGGGGGGAAGGACCATGCAAAGTGTACACTGGCAGAGCCTGAACGTACCCCGGTCTGCAGCAGTCCAGCTGGGCTCTGCACGGTCTCTGCTGGGACTCTGGCGGCAGCTACCAGGAGTGGCTCACTGGCTCTGACCAGCACCCCTCCCCCTCCAGCAGCGGTGGCGGCTGCCTGTGACAGGACGAGGCCAGGCTGGAGGCTGTGCATGGCGGAGGCAATCTCGCAGCGGAAGGGAAGGGCCATGGGAAGGTGGCATGCCAGACAGTGGCGTGTGCTGCAGTGGAGCTTGGTGCTTCAGATGCTGCACGCCACCAGCAGTGACCCTGGGTGCCCGCTCAAAGAAGCAAGGGAGCCACTTACGTGCTGGGTGGAGGTGGGGTGTTGCTGCTAGCGCTGGGTGTCTGCGAGTGTGTCCTGGAGAGGGGGGGAAATGATGGTGCTGTTTGTAGCTGGATCCCAATGGGTTTTCCAGGACATTTGCCACCTTTATGTGGACACCGGGACAGAACCCTTAAATCCGAGATTGTCTTGGAAAAAAGGGACGTATGGTCATCGTAAGTATAGTGAATCTTTTAAACACGTTCACTTCATTTTTTTTGAAAAGTGTGAATATTTTCTCAGATTTAAAGGAAGGTGTAATAAATAAGTAAAATAGCAAGAAATATTAGAAAAATAGGAATTTTTGGGATTATAAGAGAAACTGCAATTTTACAGATCCTACTCCTGTTTGTTCAGACAGAAAGATAAGGAAAGTAATTTGACTGTAAATTTCCCTTTTCTCTCATTCAAGTGATTCTGTTATTAACCACTCTATGTTGTCCATTAAATAAATGTACAATAACCCTCATGTACATGCCCTCAAAGTGGGTTTCTGAGACTCATCAATATTTTGGGGACAAGCCCTGTGTCTTAACTGAAGTGTAACTACCTTCATAGATTGCTAACAGCAGGTATCTGTGCGTAAACACAGCAAACAAAAGCTGTATTTCACGATCTATTAGAAGAACACAGCAGAAAAAAACCCCAATATTTGCCAAATAGCATAAATATCAAGGATATAAATATTTTATTATGTGGCTTACTAGAGGTTACTATACTGTCATGCTAACATTGTTATGTTTGAGGTGGCACTTTCTAAGAGAGTATTTGCAGTGGTTTAATTTTAAAAATTATAACTTTTCCAAAATCTTGGGAAGAAATGTATCCTATATGTTCTTATTCTATAAGTTAATATTGGTCTGAGCCAGTATGGCCATTCTTATGTTCTAAGCTCAGGGTCGGGGGTCTCACTGGACCAACTTGATTTTCATGCAAACCTGCTCCTGGGTTTGCATGTGGCCTTTGGTGGCCAGGCTGGCAGCTATCCTGCCCTAGATGGCTGCTTTCCTGTGCCTAGTGTGGAAATTGTGGATATTGGAGGCTTCCCCCCCTCCCCCCGAACGTGGATGAGGTCCACTGTCTCCGCACTAGACCAGGCGGGCGCCCGCCTCTTGCGGCCCCTGGCAGGCTCCTGTGAGCCGCCAGCCTGGTCCTGAGGAGTGGTGGAGGGCTGGGTGGCAGCGGATTGCTGGCTCATCCTGTGCCAGGTGTGCGGTCTGCTTGCAGGCTTGCAACTGGCCCAAGCTCTGTAGCCAGACTGCCCCTTTAAGGGCTCCGGGGCCAGGTGGGGGGCAGAAGAGTTTCCCTGTTTTAGCCCAGAGTGGTCACCAGGGCAACCTGGGAAGGGCTAGCCTCCAACTAATTCGAATTAAGGGGCTACACAGCACTTAATTCGAACTACTTAATTCGAACTAGGCATTACTCCTGGTAGAATGAGGTTTACCTAGTTTGAATTAAGCGCTCCGCTAGTTCGATTTAAATTCGAACTAGCGGTTTGTATGTGTAGCCCCTATTAAAGTTAATTCGAACTAATGGCTGTTAGTTCCAATTAACTTTGTAGTGTAGACATACCCTAATTCACTTGAGATGTTCTGAGTTCAAATATTAGAGGTAAAGATAGAAATGGTTACAAATAAAGTAAAAATACTGTTTCTACTGGCTAACACATAATGTAACAAGCTGCAGCCTTTGTTTAGGGCACAGGCTGTACCTCCCTGGCATGCTTGGGACCTGAGCAGTCCTGAACCAGGGAGTTTGCTGGACTAGGAGAGGTCCAAGGCTGCTCCTGGGTGCCATCCTCAGACACTGGGCTCTACTCTCAGCCCTGGCCTGGACTGTGCTCCTGACCCTGGTGAGCCAGGGCTTCCAGCAATAACCATGGCCCTGTCAGACCGTGGATGTTGCCATGCCAGAATGTCTCAGATTTCAGACCTTTCCTCAAGTGTCTACCTTTTTTCAAAAAGGAAAGATGCTTGTTTTTCTAGTCCAGTGTTTTTCAACCAGTGGTACAAGTACCCTTAGGGGTACTTGAGAGAAGTCTGTGGGGTACTTCAATACAACTGACATTTGGAAAAAACTGAATTTTTGTTGTAAGTTTTACAGCGCTTTATTATTTTTGTACTTTTTATAACCAAAAATTTCATCGCCAGCCCGGCTACAATTAAGTTGTTTAAACAAATGTGTTGCAATAGTAGAAAAAAATTGTGTGTGTCTGAAAATTGTAGGTATTAGGGGTACTGCTATTTTTTTTTAAAGGGGGTATTTATACTTTTGTTTTTAAAAGGGGTACTTTATAAGAAAAAGGTTGAGAAACACTGTTCTAGTCTCAGGTGAAGGATAACTTAAGGATTCTCTGCTCCTTTCTTTGAAAATTGTGTCTCTTTAAGTTCATTGTCTCTGCTTTGAAATGCAGGAAGGTTTCTTGCCTTTGCAGTCTCCATTCCCCACACTGGGATTGTTAAATTGGATACAGATACAGATTTTGTATCTGTGAAGGCCTCTTTAAATGATCACTTTTATTCCACTTGCTGTCCTGATGCCTTTGTTTGCCTGACATGCAATGTTCTTTTCTTTCTTTGATTACACCTTGCTCAATTTATATGGGAGACACATTGATGCAGTCAGGACCACATTCCTTTGATTGGAAAAAACCCATTGATCAATCCCTCTGGCATGCTTGGTTTTAAATGCATTTTAGTCATACGCATCTGTAATCTTTTGTGGATTGATCATTTTTCTTGTGTGATGTATGTTTTATCAATGAGTTATTAGTTTTCCAATGACATCTTACATGACACCTTTGAGATACTAATTATAACAATTGTGAGCTGTCAATTCAGGTGAAACTCACTGTTGGGCATCAGGGAGCTCCTTTTCCTTAGGCATAAGGATGCTCTTAGGGTTACCATGGTAGATTCTTTCTTGAATAGCTCTCTGAATCTGTCTCCCTGATCCGTGTTTACTGTCTCTAACCTAGGCTGCACAATAATATATAACGGTTACCTAGTTTTTTTTCACAAGTAGCTCTCAAAGCATTTTACAGTTGAGAAAGAAGTTAGGTTGGGTTCTAACACCTCAAATTAGTATGCAGATTTTTGCATAGCCCTCAAATGTATTGTCCTCAAATCTGGAATTTGGAGGCATGCAGTAAAATGGCATCACTCCTGTTGAGTGTGTCTCCTTTGTCATCTTCAAAGGAAGGAATCCCACAGCTGTATTAGATCTTCAGATAAACAGACTAACATCCCTCCCCCCTTTTCTTGTAGCAATGTAACTTTTTTGCATTTAGTCAGGAAAGTATGGTCATGATTCCTGTAGCAACTCATTTGCATTTCTCATTAGTGCTAAAACTGGTGTATTATGGATAGGATGAACAACATTGTAATTAAACACAGGACTGGGAACCTGGACAACTGAAGTCTTTTCACTTTTGCTACAGGTTTACTCTGGTTCTAGGTTATTTATTAACCAGTATGTCTGTGTTCCCATTTGTAAAATGTAAAATCATACATCCTTCATCTTTGGTATGAGACTAAATTGAATTTTGTAAAGCATATTTAAATCCTTGAATGAAAAGCATTAGAAAAGAAAATTTACTTAGCACTTAAATAACACCTTAGGAATTCCTTAGATAAGTCCTTAAAATTATCATCATAATCAGTAATGTGCTCAATTCTGTATATGCCCAAGAGGCAGATATGTGGTTGCAGAATGATATACAATATTCGATTTCTTGGTTTTTGTTTGTCAAAAAGCACAGCTATAGCATTCCATTAACTGTTTGTTTATAAAGGATTAAAAAACACATTTGGTAGTTGCCTTTTGAGAATACCAGTTTTGAGCATTCTTCATTACCAGTAATTTTAAGAAGTTGTAACTAGAAAGGACTGTTATAACCCTCTTGTATGATAGACTGTAACACAGAGCATAGAATTTCACCTAGTGTCTCCAACACCCAATTGTTGAACTACATCATAAGTTTTAGAAAGAAGCTAATGTTTTAGAAATATACGTGCCAATGCTTATACTACTATTTATTATTAAGGGCTGTACTCTGGTCCATAGAAGATACAAATATCAACATGATGCTTTTCCTAGAGAGCTTGTAATCTAGAAAGCACTTTAGAAAGACAAAAGGACACTGGGACACTTAGAGGGGAGGAGTTCATTTAACTTTTTCTTCATAATATCATGATTCTTTCTCCAACAACCACCTCTCTGTATTCTTGGAAGGAACTTCAGTTAAATGAGATTGGGAGGTTGCAGCTGACACACTCAGATTGAGGGGGACTTTATATAAAAAGGCACAAAGATCTAAATGAGAGAAAGAAGGGACTTGCTGAGGCTTGTGCTGTTGTGCTAAGGTGGCAAGGATGGTCTGATGTTTATAAATTGGGAAGAAGTTGTGCAGTGTCTTGAAGATGAGGGCAGAAGGACTGCAATTTTCAAAAGTATAGCTTATGATATACAGTTAATAAAAGTTACATTTCTCAAAAATACTAACTATATATCCCCATATACTCTGTTTAATTTGTTTTTAATCTAGTAAATATTGCTGAAGATGTGTAAACATTCATTATATGTACTATTTACTGATAAATTGACATTTAGTGAAATTTAATTTCCTTATTTGGTAACCTATGGTTATAAAAATGCCTTTGATTTTACTGTGATTTAAAATACTGAATGTTAATTTTCATATTTCTAATTCAGCTTTCTTCTCTCTACAGAAATGGGTTGAATTTTTTCTTTAAATTACTTGCTTGGGTTTACACGGGTTCTGCAAGCATGTTTTCAGAAGCTATACATTCTTTAGCAGACACTTGCAACCAGGTGAGTAGTGCTTCCTTTCCTCCCTTTAACTTAAAGGAGTTGTAGTTAGCTTCCAAGGAGGAATGCAGACCCTTTAAACAGTTTTGTTAGTAGTAGATAATTTCTGAATTGAGAGTAATCTTCTTAAGTGGCTGTCTTCTGGTGATAGTTGAGTAGGGTAAAAAACTGCAGTGCACATGACATGTAGAGGGAAAGTAGCATATAGCACATTTTTGAGAGGGGTTGGGACATCTGAGAACTGCTCTGAGAAGCTTCCCTGGGGCATGTTTTCTAAAATAACACTATTAAGATGAAGGGAGAGAGAGGCTGGAGACCAAAAGTTGAGCCTTCAAGTTCTTTCTATGGCTTTTATTTACCTTACTGAGATGAATTTTGTAACTTCCATTTTTGGAAATAGCATAGCTCCAGACTGGCTCTAACCTGTGGAATTGTGCAGCGATTTTGCCTATTTTAACACTTCAGTGGACATATTTGTATTAATATCTGTGGTTTGCATGCTTTTCATCAGAAAGTGAAATAGCAGGTAACACTTCAATAAGAATAGCTTTGGATTTCCACAAGTGCAACAGACATTTTAACAGTGTCAGGGCTGATCAAACACTTTACTTACATTGATTATCACATTTAGGAGAGCATGCCTTCAAGTTTCAGTTAACTTATTACTAAATAATTCCTGCGTTGCATTGTATTAGATAATATAATATGCTGTTATGAATAATCTGTTGAGGGCACACTTGTTTACAGTATGGACATGCAGTTTTTGTAGTATTTGAATATATTTTTGGCTGTAATATAGAAGTGAAATCATTTAAGGAAGGGGGTAAGAATTAAGTTTGTCCACTTGTATGGTGATTTAGGCATAACCTTGTCAGAAAATAATGGGGCTACATAGCAAGTGGCCCTGGATTGTTCTTAGAAGAGAACTCATGAATGAGAGTTCTGAGAACTAGAGCGCTGTCATGGAAGGTTATAAACTGTTCAGGAAGAACAGGTGGGGGAGAAAAGGAGGAGGAGTTGCACTGTATGTAAAAGAGCACTATAATTGCCCAGAACCCCAATATATAGAGGGAGAAAAGCCTGTTGAGAGTCTATGGGTTAAGTTTAGAGGTGCAAACAATAGAAGTGATGTTGTGGTTGGTGTCTGCTACAGGCCACTGGATCAGGTGGATGAGGTAGATGAGTCATTCTCTCAGTTGTCTGAAGAAGCTTCCAGATCACAGGCCCTGGTTCTCATGGGGGACTTTAATCATCCTGACATCTGTTGGGAGACCAATACAGCAGTACTCAGACAATCCAGGAAGTTTTTGGAGAATGTTGGGTATAACTTCTTGGTATAAATGCTGAAGGATCCGACCAGGGGCCATGCACAGCTTGACCTGCTGCTCACAAACAGGGAAGAACTAATAGGGGAAGTAGAGGTGGGTGACAACCTGGGAAGCAGTGATCAGGAGTGGTAGATTTCAAGATCCTGATCAAAGGAAGAAAAGAGAGTAGTAAAATACACACCCTGGACTTCAGAAACTAAGACTTTTACTCCCTCAGAGACCTGATGGGCAGAATACCCTGAGATGCTAACATGAAGGGGAAAGGAGTCCAGGGAAGAAGGACAATCCAGGGAACTATAGTCTTACCTCAGTCCCCAGAAAAATCATGGAGGGGATCCTCAAGAAATCCATTTTTAAGCACTTGGAAGAAGGGAAAGTGATCAGGAATAGTCAGCATAGATTCACAAAGGGCAAATCATGCCTGACCAATCTTATTAGCTTCTATGATGAGGTAACTGGCTCTGTGGATATAGGAAAGTCAGCGGATGTGATATACCTTGACTTTAGCAAAGCTTTTGATACGGTCTCCCACAATAGTCTTGCCAGCAAGTTAAGGGAATATGGATTGGATAAATGGACTGTAAGATGGATAGAAAGCTGGCTAAAAGGTTGGGCCCAGCGGGTAGTGATCAATGGCTCGATGTCAGGTTGGCGGTCAGTTTCTAGCAGAGTGCTCCAAGGATTGGTTCTAGGACCAGTTTTGTTCAACATTTTTATTAATGACCTGGATGAGGGGATGAATTGCACCCTCAGCAAGTTTGCAGATGACACTAGGGGAAAAGGTAGATACATTGGAGGGTAGGGATAGGGTCCAGAGTGACCTAGACAAATTGGAGGATTGGACCCAAAGAAATCTGATGCGGTTCAATAAGGACAAGTGTAGAATCCTGCACTAGGGACAGAAGAATCCCAAGCATGGTTATAGGCTGGAGACTGAATGGCTAAGTACCGTATATACTCGAGTATAAGTCGACCCGAATATAAGCCGAGGCACCTAATTTTACCCAAAAAACTGGGAAAAAGTATTGACTCGAGTATAAGCCTAGGGTAGGAAATGAGGCAGCTACTGGTAAATGTAAAAAATGAAGATAGATACCGGGTCTAGCCCCGGAAGTCGGGGCGAAAGCTGCTCCGGTGCCCCTGGTCTGCTGGAGACCGTCTCCAGCAGACCAGGGGCACCGGGCGGGTTCCCGCGCTTCTGAGGCTTTGCCAGAGCAAAGCTTCAGAGGCGCGGGACCCCCCCGTGGCTGCGGCTTCAGCGGCTTGCGTTTTCAATACATGTAATTTGGTAGACAATTTCTGAACTAATAGCAGAATTGTTAATTAATGAACTCATGCTGCTATTCTAGCCTAAAACCTTGGAAATGGAAAGAAACTGGAGATTCTCCTTAGCTATCTTGTCTCTGATTTAGTGAAGTTTGGACTAATACTTCTGCTTGGTTTTTCAGTTTATCTGAATTTCAGATAGTTTTCAATACATGTAATTTGGTAGACAATTTCTGAACTAATAGCAGAATTGTTAATTAATGAACTCATGCTGCTATTCTAGCCTAAAACCTTGGAAATGGAAAGAAACTGGAGATTCTCCTTAGCTATCTTGTCTCTGATTTAGTGAAGTTTGGACTAATACTTCTGCTTGGTTTTTCAGTTTATCTGAATTTCAGATATTTAGAAATATTACTCTTCCTTTCTAAATTAATACTTTCCTATACCACTAAACATGTATCAGGTGAGGTTCAGTGAAGAAGATAGAGGATGGGATTCAGGAGACCAGGGTAATATTCTTGGTAGGGATGTCTGCATCATTAGATGACTATACCATTAACCGGTAACCCTGCATTTATCAGTTAATTTTGTCAACTACACACCTTCTCCCCCCTTGCTGCCTCTGTTAGAGGCAGCAAGGGGGGAGAGGTGGGAGCTGGTGCCCCCCACTCCTGTGTGGCTACCTCCAACAGAGAGGCAGCAACGCGGAGGGTGAGGGGGGCAGGTAGGAGCTGATTTTCATAGGGATCTGGCTTGTAAGCACACTGGCTGCCACTCCCACTCTTGGAGACTATCAAATAGTCATGCAACTTCTAAAATTTGATGTGGTTACATGACTAGTCAATTACACACTACCTAACATCCCTAATTCTTGGCCCTGCTACTGATCTGCAGAGTGGCAAAGGCAAGTTGCTTCACCTCTCTGTGTCTGTCCTCTCTGGTGAGGCTCGTCCACCATGGCAGATTGCCCTGCTAGGACAGTGGTTCTCAACCACAGGTCCTGGGGTATGCAGAGGTCTTTCTCATCTAGATATTTTGTCTAGTTTTTACAACAGGCTACATACAAAGCATGACTGAAGTTGGTATAAACTAAAATTTCATACTGACAGTGACTTGTTTATACTGTTATATACTGAAATGCAAGTTGAATATTTATATTCCAAGTGGTGTCTTTTATAATATGGTAAAAGTAAGAAAGTAAGCCATTATTCCATAACAGTGTGCAGTGAGCTTTTTTGGGGGGAAGGAGGGAGAGTATTTTTGTATGATTTGGTAAGCAGGTAGTTTTTAACTGAGGTGTAATTTGGAGGCATGCAAGACAAATCATACTCTGGAAAGAGACAGTAGTGTGGAAAGGTTGGGAGGCATCTGTATCCTTTGTTGCTGTCATTGTCTTCCCAGGCTTTTTTTGCTGATCATTCTTCTCCCATTTTTATCACATGTTCAGCCTACTTCAGTCTTGTGCTCTTCAGCCCATATATTACTGAAAGCCTCAAGTTAATTTCTGCCCTTCCCAGTTGACTAAGTAATTAAGTAAAATTACATTTAAAAAAAGGTTAAAAGAATGTTAAGGATTTTAAACAAACAAAAGTTAGGAAATACCAGAATTAGGGCTGCCCATGCAACTTTAATTTGACTGCTTTGTGTGCGTGTTATAAAAGTTTTGTCCAGAATCAAATAGAAAGAGCCAGAATAGAACCTATTTCTGAGTTTAATGCCTTAAACACAAGAGAGGCATCCTTCTGCCTCACTCATTTTCCATCCAGTCCAATGAATGAGTATTGGTCCCATAGCACATATAAGATGCAATCCTGCAATTGAAGGCTGTATCACAGGTAGCAGGAGAAGGCTGTTATCTGCCATGTGGATCAGTGGCTAGAGGATTGTGTGACAGATTTGCCTTTTTTACCCATCTTGTTGTTAGATAGCAGAGGAGTGTTAAAAATAGAATACAACACACCAGATTTCTGTCTGTGGATGGGAGAAGTCCATGGGTAACCTATGAGGTGAGGCTGCCATAACTGGAGCAGCCTACAGGGTCTTTAATTTACTTATGACCACACTAGCTCTCAGACCAAATTAGTAATGCAGAAAGTATCTTAAAATCATTTTTGCCACCCTGTCTGTTCAGGTTGTGATTTGTGCTTGGCCTTTCTGTGGGAAGGTACAGCATAAAATAATTCCTCATGGCCAGTGGTCTACAACCTTTTTAAGCATGAGATTCCTTTTTGAATGTAAATGCAATCCAGGATCCACCTCAAACCCAAATACCCTTGTCCTACCTCCTTCCTGTCACTTCTCGAAGGCCCTGCCCCTGCTCACTCCATCATCCCTCCCTCCCTCCTCCATTTTCACTCCACTTTTATCAGTCTGTGGGCCGAGGGCTGGGGTGCAAGGGAGAGGGAGGGGGATGCGGACTCTGATCTTGGGCTAAAGGATTTGGAGTGTGGGAGAGGTTCGGAGCTCAGCCTGGGGCAGGAAGTTGAGGTGCAGGAGGGTGTTCAGAGTACTGGTTCTGGGAAGAAGTTTGGGTGCAGGGGGACACAGGACAAAGCTAGGAGTTTGGGGTGCAGGAGAGTTCAGGACTGGGACCGGGGTTTGGAATGCGGACTCCAGTTGGACACCGCGTACCACACAGGTGGCTTCTGGGTGGTGGTGCAGGGGACCAAACCTGTCAGGATCACCTGTCAAAGGCTCCAGGATCTGCCATACATCCCGATCTACTGGTTGGTGATCCAGTTCCAGTGGAAGTGACCTTGTGAAGCCTTTCATGTACTCCATCTATAAAATGGGAAATACTACCAGATCTGCTGCCTTTGTATTTAGACATGTATGAAAATAGCCCTAAAGACAAGCCCTTATAAATTAGGGATGTTAGCATGTATCCATGTACATGATAAACCAATAAAACTGGGCTGCTGGGAATCCTGGCTGCCAGTCCGGCTCTGCTTGCAGGCCCCCCAGCCACCAGACTGCCAGCTGCTGGGGCTTTCTAATCCAGAGGCTCTCTGGTCCAGCAATATCCGTGGTCCTGCTGGACTACCGATGTTGCCAGACCAGAGATGATGTTCTTAACTTCACTTTTTTAAATTGTTGCTTTAAAGTTCTTATAGTTAGAACTAACATTAGGTGAATTAGTTTTGGATGACATTGAACTGTTTGGGAGTGAATTTTTTGGTGTAATTATTGTAATTTGAGCTGAAGTGTTTTGTTTCTAATGCTACATATAAAAATCAGCAAGTTGGATCTGATTTTTATTTAACCACATTTTTTCAAGTTAGAACTAGTCTCAATGTTTTTAATAATTTCTACTGACGTGTTTTTTTTTTTTTCTTTGCATTATGCAGGCTTTGTTAGCATTGGGCATCAGTCAGTCTGCAAGGACGCCAGACCCTAGTCATCCGTAAGGGCAATGTCTTCCTTGAATTTACCTTGTGGAATAAATAGTTATACTTCCATAAGTATCATCTTTTACTGCTTCTCTGCAACCCGGTTTTTATTTAAGAGATCTGTTCTAGTTTCTGAATAGGAGATGAGCCATAGCTTTTCCTTTTATTCCATTATAGTAATCCAGACAACTCAAATTTATTTTAAGTAAAATGGTAGTACTTGTACGTATACCCAAGGGTTTCATTTTTTTTCTAAATAACTTACTTTTACAGTAGAAATAAGAGAAATGTGGGTTCCTACCAAGTGTCAGAGTTTTAAACAGTCATGAGTTGGCGTATTTTGATGTTGTAAGCAACAAAAATGAAATACAAGATTTGTAGCTATTAGGAAGATATGCTTTTATGGGCCCTACCAATTTTTCCATTAGATAGCTGTACAATATGCTGTTCATACGTCTGATTTTTTTTTTTTTTTTTTTTTTATGTATGGATGACAGGATTTGGGCAGTGGTAAGGAGACTTTCCCCCTTTCCAAGAGACACCAGATTTCAGAAAGGAAACACTTGGTTCTAATTCAGATGGTCACAAGAAGTACTTGACATAAACACACAAGTGTTAATTTTTATACCAATAAGAGATTTAAGATTGTTCATACTGCTTAGTAAAGTTTAAAGTAGTCTTAATTACATAGAATTATAGACTTTTAGGATTCAAAGAGACCTGGAGAGGTCATCTAGTCCAGGCCCATGTGGTCATGGCATGACTACCTAGAGCATCCCTGAGAGGTGTTTATCTAACCTGTTCTTAAAAATCTCTGATGGAGATTCCACAACCTCCCTACGCAATTTATTCCAGTGGTAACCACCTTGACAGTTAGGAAGTTTTTCCTAATGTCCAATCTAACTCCCTCCAACTCCCCACCCCCGGCTACCATTTAAACCCATTGCTGCTTGTCCTATCCTCAGAGGTTAAGGAGAACAATTTTTCTCCCCTTTACTTGTAACAACCTTTTCTATCCTCTTCCCTCATAGGTCATGTTTTCTAGAGGGTTTTTTTTTTCACCCTAGACCTAATTTTTGTTGCTCTTCTCTGGACTCTTAAAAAATGTGTCCACATTTTTCCTGAAATGTGGCACCTAGAACTAGATGCAGTGTGCCATTTAGGCCTAATCAGCATGGAAGTAGAATGATTCCAGCCTAAATTTCAATTTTTTTCACCTCTGAGGGCAAGTCTGGTTAACCACCTCGATGGTAATTGAAGTGTTCTATTTTGTTTGGATCACAAAGTCAGGCATGCTTTTTTTCAACTGAGAATCTGAGGTAGGTTCGACTAAGGCTTCTGATTTATATTTAAGTTTGCCAGACTCATCTATCTCAGAATAGGATCTACTTTTATCTGGAGCTTCTTCCCTTCTCAGTCTTCCTCTTTCCTTCAGATTATGCCCTGCACCTGCATCATTTCCTCTTTTGCAGTCCTGCTAATCAGGCATAGCAGAGAACACAATGATGTAGTGTTAAGATATCACTTTAAATATTTCAGATAAAATTAAAGCTACAAATGCTGGGGATTTGCAGCTTAGCTGAATTATTAAAAAAATATTTAAAAAACATAGCAAATATTACAGTATTTTATTTTAAGAAAATGAAATGTATAGACTGTACATGAAGATTTTAATTAGAAACAGGATTGCAAGGTAGTTTAAATATTCATTAAACATGAATACTTAAAAAAAATAAATTTCATTACTAGCTGTGGTACATAATAAAGTAATGCAACTAAATCACCTGTGTATGGAGAAAGGACTAGAAAAATATATATTTAAGAAACTGGATGTCCTTTTCCATTAGTATTTTCTTGGATTAGAGTTTATTTTAGCAACTGTAGATTAACTAGCTATCAGGAGCTTCAGTTTATCATTTATCAAGTATCTAAATATATTTTAAAAGTTATAGACTTTTTTTTCTTAAACCATTTTCCTTTTTCATACAGATATGGCTTCACAAATATGCGTTATATTGCCTCCCTAATTAGTGGGGTTGGCATTTTCATGATGGGCTCAGGACTTTCCTGGTATCATGGAATCATAGGCTTACTTCATCCTCAGCCTATAGAATCTCTTCTTTGGGTGAGTCAATCTTTTTCTGTTCTATTTTAAAACTCTGGATGGTGGGGATAGTTTAATGTAATGAAACCTCGTTATTTGAAATTCCAAGTCATCTTGATGCTAAAAGTTTAAATCTCAGTAGGGTTAACATACCATCTGTAGGGTTGCCAGGTGTCCAGTATTCACCCGGACAGTCCGGTATTTTCGCCTCCTGTCCAGTAAAAAAAATTCAGAGAATACCGGACACCTAAAATGTCCTGATATTTTCTGAATTTTTTTCCCTGGCCAGGAGGCGAAAATGCCAGGCACCTGGCAACCCTACAAACACTCAGCGCCTGACCTCCCCCCCCCCCAGCTCGCAACATCCCCAACCCCCATGCTTACCTGGTTCCACAAGGCTGCCAGCACAAAATGGCTGCCGACCAAGGGGAAGTGGGAGTGCTCAACCGCACCCCTGTTCCTATCTCTGCACTCACTCTTAAAGGGGACATGCTGTTTTATTTTAATTTTTTATTTAATTTATTTATTTTTATTGCTTAAGTCTTGGAGTCCTTTTTTTTTCCCTCTCAACAACTTTTGTTCCCCCCCCCCCTTTTTTTTCCCCCTTC